AGACAAGATGAGCTTGATTTTTTGCAAGGCTATTAGGGTTAAAATACAGGTTCAGTGGGCAACCCAGGCTGTCCCTAGAGTCCAGGGCCACAGGGATGACCTCATATCAGCCACTGGATGAGCTCTGGCCACCCTCACAACACAGAGAACTCCAAGTTTAACCCTGAGCAGTTTTCACAAGAGCTCAGTGCCAGTGGGGGCTGGGGTTCAGTAGCAATTTAAACCTCATCATTCCTGTCCTCTGTCTCCTATGAAGCAGCAGACTGATGTGCCTCCCAGAAGGCAGTGTCTGGTGTTAGGAAATCAACTCTGCCACCTATAGCTGTGTGGTCTCAAGATACTGAAGTCCCTCTGAGCCTTGGCTTCAATGTGTAACTTGGGGATGCCAGTGCCAGCCTTACACAGTGGCTTTGAGAGGTGCATAGAATGAAGTATGGAAGGACATTTGTCCTTCCTGGAGCACCTGGGTGGACTGCCCTCCCTAGCAGCTTCTCTGGGGACTGACCCCTCTGGAGACATCCTTCTCAGTGTGTCCACTCTGGACCTGGTCCTCTACAGTTAGCAGGGTGGAGAAGTCAGCAGCATAGCTGGCCAGCCACGGCACAGTATGTGTGTCATGTGGATAGGCAGTTGTAGGGACCCAAAAGGGAGCAATTACTTGTTCAAGGGGTTAAGGCAGGCTTCCTGGAGGAGGGAAAGCTGGAATAGGCCTTGGAAGACAAGTACTAATGATGATAACGGCTAGTATTTCCTGTGGGCTCCTATGTGCCAGGGGAGGTGTTGAACACACATCACTTCTCTGAATTTCCACAACAATCCTTTGAGGTAGGGGCTACTACTATTGCTGCTTTACTAAGGAGTGCAAGAACCAGGCTAAAGTCCATAGCTGGAAATGGCAKGGCAAAGCCCAAGGTGCCAAGCTAATGAAGGACATGGTCCACATTAAGAGGCAGAAAGTGCTGTGGGGACACTGAAGGCATATTCAGGAAGTTTCTTACTAGTTACTTCACCCCATCTACCTAGGTTCTAGCAACCACAACACAAAAAGCACCAGACGCAGACATTGGATCAAGTTAAGACTCTCTTCCTGCTCATGCCACAAGGCACTGTGTCTTCCAATCCAGATCAGAGACTCACTAGGGATGTAGAGGTCAGGAGCATTGAGGTCTTGCCGTGGGGGCAGAGGCACATCACGACTGTACTGCACTTCCCAGTTCTGGCAGTGGTGGCAGCAGCCAGGTCAGAAGCAGAAGAGAAAAGAGAGAAGGGAGTTGAGGTCTGGCCAACAGAAGGTGGGGGGGGGGGGTGTTCTGCCCGTTTACCTGGTAGGAAGCTCACCTGGTGTGTGTAAGGGAAGACCAGCAGCCCTAGCTTCTTTGCCACATAGGCTGTGTCCACAGCGAAAAAATACTTGAGTTTGTTCACAGACACAAAACGGTGTAGCTGGGAGGGAAGAGAGGAGGCTGTGGAGGAGCCACATCCAGAGCCTGAGGGTACTCCTGTGTGCTCCTTCCCTGAGGGCCACTATGAAGATCAGGTGGGATCCCAGCCCTCGCCAGAAATCCTGCCACCCCTTTCCCTGGGGGCAGACCACACCTCCTTGTGCACTATGTCCTTTCCGTGAGATGCGATGGAGCTGCCATAGGCCATAGCCACGTTGGCCATTGGGTCCCCAAGCAAGTGGTTGACATTGAAGGCCACCTCGGCTCCTGGGGCTGGGTATCCCCCAGGCTGGCTGGAATAACCACCGCTTGTATCATCAAAGAGGGGAGGGGAATCCGGAGCTGCCCGGGCCCTGTGCTTGGAACCTGTGAATTTGGAAGTACTAGAGTGGGTGAAAGGAATACCAAACCACAGCCCAAAACCCTGCCCTTTCCTCTGGCTGTGCAGCCCCATGTTGAACCTGGGTGCACCAGGCAGTCAGTGACGGAAAATCAAGCTGTGTGAAGGGTAGGTAATTCAGAAACAACTTTGATGAGGAATCCTTTGCGGAAAATCTTTTACTAAGCATAGGCAAAGGAAGAGAGCCTGGAAGTAGCTGTCCACCTGGGGTTTCTGAGCTCCCAACCCAGTCATGGAAAGTGAGCAGAAGTTGCTAGGTGAAGATAACTGGAAAGATATCCCTGCAAGAACAAGGGTAGGAAAAACAACAGCTGGCTATCGAGAGGCACTGAGCGGTGATCATGCCATGGAAAAGGAAGTTTTGGAGAACCCCGGGTTTGACATGGAGATCCAAGCTATTGGGTAGAAAGGACGAAGTCCGGGACGCCTTGCAGTCTTGCAGGACAGAAACCCAAGTGACATTCCCTGCCCTGGGCAGCGGGAACGGCCGCCCCTCTCCCTCAGGATGAGCGGGCCGCGCCACTGATTTTCCTCCAGTCGGCCAGGCCGCGCCCCGCCCGTCCCACACCTCACGCACCGTGGGCTCCGTAGCCCGAGTGATAAGCCATTGCTGCGACGCTCTCTCTCCCTGAGGGACGGTTGCGCTGCCTCGTGGGTACGATTACTAATAGGGCCGCTGCTTCTCTCCCCGGGCACCGACTGAGGTTACCCAGCGGCCCGACACGTCCCGGAGTTGACCGATTGCGGTCGCCATGTCGGTAGCGTCATGCCATGCCTCCTGCCATTGGCTCTTAGGCGGCTCCGATTCTCCTCTCCCTTCTCTCAATTGGCTACTGGAGAGCCTTAGCTAAAGCAGATTCGGCTGTAGCCAACTTCCGGGCGAGGGATAGGCGGAGCGATTAGAGACGCTCTTAGATTGGATAGTGGGCTTGCTAATTCGAGGCGGGAACAGCCAATAAGTGGAAGGGTGTTGTGAATTATTTCCGCGTCTGCGCAGTGGAGTACTTGACCCTCGCTCTGCCACGACTGCAGGAGCAAGACTTAGCAGGAGACTGGCGGCTGAAGTCAGAGAACGAAGCTTCATTAGTGGGACGTATTCCAGGAGGGAATAGGGTAGTCGCATTCTGACCAATCCCCGTCCCTGGGGACGCTTGCTCCTCCCTCTCCCCGCTCGATTTCCTTCTTGTCCTTCATATTTCATCCAATTTTGGAGCGGTACACCAGCCGACCGAGCGGTGTTGGTTGGAGGCGGGGCCTGGCAGTGATTGAGAGGCTGACAGCCCCAGAGTTCTGACTCCTCCCGCCTCCCTCTCCTCCTTTCGGTGAGGGTGCTGTCCACCCCAACCGGTGCTGAAAATGCTCTCCGGCTCCACCGCCATCATGCAGACCTGCCCGCAAGGGTGTCTGCTGGGAAGACTTGAGATTTGGATCCATACGCTGCGTGTGCATATCTAAAAACCCAGAATATCTGAAGTCCCAGAAGTTGGGTAGTATAGGTGGAGCAGGATCCTGCACTGGGCCTGTCCCATCGACTCTCCAGTGGTCCAGCCGATTTTTGATCTGTTATCTCCTGAAACTCAGCTGAAACTCCTGAGCCATTGCTTGTCCTTTATTTTCAAAGTGAGGCCCCCAAACCTCTCTTGTCCCAGGGGATCCTTTCTGTTCACTCAGGTTCAAATCACTCCCACTTTGCCTAGAGACAATCTTCAAACACCTCCCTGTCTTCAGGCATTCCTTTCTAGAGAGTATGATCAGGCTCTGAGACCTGCCTTTAATTAGCTTCCTAGTGTCCATTACACCAGGTAACCTTCCTGCTCCCCAGACTCAACCCACAGTGATCCAACCACTGTGCCTTTGACTAGAGGTCCCCTCCACTTGGGATGCCCTTCCCCCTCATCTCCACTTGTTCAAAGCCTTTAAGAATCAACTCAGCTTTGCCTCAGAGAAACAAAGAGGACAGAGGCCTGACCTGGTATGGGTTGGAGGCCAGCGCCCGCGTGATGTAAGTGCCCTCTGGATTGCATTCAGTTTGCCCTGGATGTAGGTGCTGTGAGGACAGAGCCTTTTTCACTGTCCACTCCTACAGTTGTCTCCCCAGGTCCAGTGCCAAGCATGGTAGTTTCATATAGAAGACACCCAATAAACATCTGTGCACCATAAATAAATCATAAATAAATGGATGAAATAAATAAGTAAATGGATGTAACCCTAGACCTATTCTTTCTCTCCGCCCCCCCCCACACACATTCTCTCTGTTATGTCATCTTTAAATGATTATCCCTTTGCTTAAACATACACCCCAAAATAACTCACCCAGTATTGCAGCTTCCTATATTCCATCCACTGATTGTAAGCTTGGGGTTAAGGCCCAGACCAAAGCACAGTGTGAGGATGTGAGGCTGTTAGGGGCCAAGGAGCAGCACTGGGGCCTCATGTAGGAGGCCCACCAAGGGCAAACCCCACTGCCCCACATGGCTTGATGAATGCTTGTGAATTTACTCCAGCACTTTTCCACCCCCATTTCTCAGATGGAAAAATTGAGTTTGGGGGTAAAGTGTGCTAGCCTAAGGTCTTGCAGCCTAAGGTCCCCAATATCCTAATCCCCAGCTCACCTGCTGTAAGAGGAGCCTAGCGCCACTGCCCAGTGGATGAGGCTCATAAGCCTTTCTGGATGATAAATGCCCCAACAAATGAGGCTTCCAGGGTGAGTTCTGGGTGGGCTTAGCTCTAGGCTTACCCCTTAGAGATGGGACGCATCGGGCACCCACACATCTTCAAGACTCACCTTCTTGGTTTTACAGCCCTGGGCAACTCAGGAGTCTTAGAGCAAGGACTTGCTCAAGGTCGCAAGAGCGAGAGCGACCAGAGAAATTCCCAGGCGTCCGGCAGCCCAGACGGCTTCTGGGGGGCTGGGGAGAGCCCGCGGTGCCAGGCGCTGCTGGCGGCGCCGCCGGTGCCGCGGGGGCGGGGTCAGCGGAGGGCGGGGCGCCGGGCACCGCCAACGCCGCCGCCGCCGCTGCGCTCCGGCTGGGGCTGGGCGCACTCCCTCCGCGGCCGCCGAGCCGAGCGGACGCCCCTCGGGGCCGCGCCGCAGCCCTCCGCGTCCCCCCTATCATGCCCCGGGCCTGGGCCGGGGCCGCCGGAGCAGCCAGAACACCATGCCCGAGGGCGGCTGTGGCGACGGTGGGGAGGTGCCTGCGCTCATCCCGGACGGCGAGCCGCTTCGGGAGGAGGTACCTGCACTGGGTGGCTGGTGACCCGAGCCGGGGCCGGAGTCGGGCGAAGGGGACTAGCAGAGGGGATGACCCCCAGGAAGGGGGTTGAAGAGGGAAATCCTGGAGCCCCTATAGCCAATGACGTCATTGGAAAGCCCGCATTTGGGCAGGGGTCCCAGACCTAAGGGCGGGCAAGAGGTGGGGCGACTGAGCAGGAAAGTGGGGAGGCGACTCCCACCCTCGGCGCCCCCTCAACTGTCCTAGCCCGTCCGGTGACGTCAGCGCCTGGCCCCTACGCGTTCCCATGCCGCAGCACAGCCTGGGATGCTGACTCCCACCCCCAGGGCCACAGGGTCAGGCCCCCAGCCCGGCTCAACTGCTCACGAGGTGCCAGGCGGCGCCTGCAATGCAGCAGCAGTGATGGGGCCTGGGGGTGGGGGAGGGAAGAGGGCCATGAGAAGGGAGGCGGCCTCGGTACCCCTTCTTCCTTCTGGTGAGGCCTAAGGGTCACCCTGCTGGAACCCCCAGGAAGATCCTCCTCCAACCTAGCCAGGAAGATCTGCAGGGACCCTGTGCCGTGGGGTGAGGGGTATGGTGGCCGGTGGTGAGTGAAGGTGTGGGGTGTGTGTGAGAATTCCAGTGTGTATGTTCCCTACACTTGGGTAGGTGGGACTTGTGTGCCCTATGGTCACTTGAGGATCTGGTGGGTCCCTTGGCTTGGGTCTTTGCCCAGCAGTGCCTATGTGTGTGAATGTGTCCTGTCATGGGTGGGTCTGTGGTTTGGCATGGAGTGCCCGTGTGGGTGTCAGGTTGCTGTAGAGGTGAGGCATGTGCAATGTGGTGAGGTGAAGGTCTGGTGTGTCTCTGGGATTTATAGAGTATGTGACATGTGTGTGCATGTGTATGTGCTGTGGTGGTGGTGGTGGTGGTGGTGGTATGTGTGTGCACCTTGATGTGATTGCAAGGGTTTGTGCTTTAGGGACAGGTGAAGGCCTGATGTTTCTTCGATGACAGGTCATGTGTTCCTCCTTGGGGAGGGGTCTGTGATAAACACTGGTTGGAGGTGGATGAGTGGTATGTGCACCTGACTGGCCATGTGGGGCTGGGTATTGGGTGAGGGAGATAGGCTGCCCTGGGTGGGGCTGGAGCCAGTTCTCCTCTCCTTAAGGCCTTGTGGGTCTGGGTAGGAGATGTGGCCACATAACCTGACCTCTATTATTTCTGCTTCCTTCTGCCCATTTTTAACCTTCTTCTCCATGCTCCCCACCCTCTTCTCTCTTGTGGGGTGAGGTGGCCAGGCTGGCAGCCCTGCTGAGGAGGGTGGGCCAAGCCCTAGGGCCAGAGAGTGGCCCCTGCTGCCCAGCAGCTGTGTCCCTCCCACTCCCTTAGCACAGATGGGGAGTGGAGGGCGGCCCTCCATCTGCTCCCCACCCCAAGACTCACACCTCCCCCACTCCCAGCTCTCCCTCTTTCTCACTGACTTAAAAGCCTCTCCAAGTCTCCTGCTGTCCCTAGTGGAATAAGGACCTGAGAGAGTCTCAGGATAACAGTAATAATGTTTATTCCCCTGGGCAGACCCTGTGCTAATATCTTCACACTTACAATCTCCTTGAATCCTCACAACCCCAGGTTACAGATGAGGAAATTGAGGTCCAGGTTGTATGAGGGACCTGCCCAATTTATACTGTAAGTTGCAGAGCAGCATCAGATCCTGGGCTGTTAAACTCCAAAGCTCATCCTATTGGACCCTTGGGCCCCTGCCAGGCTGGCCTCCCAGACCACCAGGGCCAAGAGTCAAGGCCCAGAGAGGGCAGGGATATGGCCAAGTCCACACAGCAAATCAGGGTAGAGCTAGAACCACCAGCACTCAATTTTCTCAGTAGCCAGCACAGTAGAAGACAGGCTCAGAGCTGGTGGGCCTGGGTTTGAATCCTGCAGTAGCACTGGGCTGGCCAGAAGCAAGGTCTGAAGCAGTGGACTCAATTCCTTACAGCCTCAATTTCTGCTCTACACAGTGGTCCTGGGGCACCACTTCCTTCACCACCTGAGCAGGGTGGGCTTAAGCAGGGTGACTGGCCCAACCATGGGCTCCATCCTGACTTCATCCTCCCTGTCTCTGCCCACCTTGCAGCAGCGGCCCCTGAAGCAGTCCTTTGGAAGCTCCCTGTGCCGGGAGTCGCACTGGAAGTGCCTGCTCCTCACACTGCTCATCCATGCCTGCGGGGCTGTGGTGGCTTGGTGTCGCCTCGCCACGGTGCCACGTCTGGTCCTGGGGCCCGAGGCAGCCTTGGCACGTGGGGCAGGGGGTCCTCCACCCACCTACCCGGCCAGCCCCTGCTCGGATGGTTACTTGTACATCCCACTGGCCTTTGTCTCCCTCCTCTACCTCCTCTACCTGGCTGAGTGCTGGCACTGTCACGTGCGGTCATGCCAGGCACCTCGCACGGACGCCAACACCGTGCTTGCTCTGATCCACCGGCTACAGCAGGCCCCGCCCTGCGTCTGGTGGAAGGCCACCAGCTACCACTACGTGCGGCGCACACGCCAGATCACCCGCTACCGCAACGGCGATGCCTACACCACCACGCAGGTCTACCACGAGAGGGCCGACAGTCGCACTGCACGCGGCGAGTTTGACTACTCTGCCCACGGGGTCCGCGACGTTTCCAAGGAGCTGGTGGGCCTGGCCGATCATGCGGCCACGCGCCTCCGCTTCACCAAGTGCTTCAGCTTCGGCAGCGCTGAGGCCGAGGCCTCGTACCTCACGCAGCGCGCGCGCTTCTTCAGCGCCAACGAGGGCCTGGACGACTACCTGGAGGCCCGCGAGGGCATGCACCTGAAGGATGTGGACTTCCGCGAGTCCCTCATGGTCTTCGCAGACCCCCGCAGCCCGCCCTGGTATGCGCGCGCCTGGGTCTTTTGGCTGGTGTCAGCAGCCACGCTGTCCTGGCCACTGCGCGTGGTGGCGGCCTATGGCACCGCCCACGTGCACTACCAGGTGGAGAAGCTGTTCGGCGCCAGCTCGCCCCCTCCGGGGGCCGTGCCCAGCGGGCCGCCTCTCTCCCGTGTGGCCACGGTGGACTTCACCGAGCTCGAGTGGCACATCTGCTCCAACCGACAGCTGGTGCCCAGTTACTCAGAGGCTGTGGTCATGGGCGCCGGTTCCGGCGCCTACCTGCGCGGCTGCCAGCGCTGTCGCCGCTCTGTCAGCAGCAACTCGCTGCCCCCTGCCCGGCCCAGTGGGCCCCGCCTGCCCTTCAGCCGCAGCCGCCTTTCCCTGGGTGCAGGAGGCCGGGCCACGCCTGGGGTCTTCCGCAGCCTGAGCGGGGGGCCACTAGGGCGCCGCGGAGAGGACACGGAGCCCCTGGAAAGCCCACCGTGCTATGAGGATGCCCTTTACTTCCCGGTGCTCATTGTCCACGGGGACAGTGGCTGCCGGGGGGATGGGCAGGGTGCACTCTGAGAGCCCCAGAGCCACCCCTCACCATGGGCAGAGATACCTGAATAACTGTCCAAAACACGAGGGAGAACAGACCAGCCACACATCAGGGGTGGGGGCGGGGCCGGGGTTCCCTAAACTAAAGCGCAGTGACCTGTGTCATTCATGGGAAATGGATGCCACCTATGTTGAGTCTATATCCATCCCCAGCATGGTTCCCCCCAACTACCACCTTCCACTCCCTGTAATGGCAGAGGACCAGGCCTGGGGGCCCTGCACATTGCACAGGAGAGGAAGGTTCCAGAAAGGCTGGAAAGAGGAGGAGTCCTGGAGACAACTGTAGCCTGCAACAGAGAGCTGCATGCTGGGCTCCTTCCTGCCGTGGCTGAGGCCTTGTTGGGAGCCCTCCAGCAACACAGAAGCACAATGTAGAGGTTTGGGGCCATGCCCACTGGGTTGGCCTCCCCAAAGAGAAGAGCTGGAGGAGGCAGCATGGTGGCCTCGGCCCCACTGCCCACCCAAATTTCCCACCCCCTTCACATGCTAGGTCCTTCCCTGCCCACCCTCTCACCTCTGCTCCAGGGCAGTCCCTGATCTGACCCTGCAACGCAGCCCTCTCCTTTGGGAGCCTGGTTCTGGGAGCACAGTCTCGCCCATACTGCTCTTCTCCCTAGTGCCCATACACCCTCTCCCACCCAGATCCCTCCCCTGTGACCTGGGGCTCCCACTAGGCCCCCCACAGTTTCTGGGCTCCACTCTGCCTCCTGAAGTTCCTGTCTGCCTCTGTTAGCCACGCATACACCCCAACCTTGTGCCCATTTCTCCCAAGGCTTCTCGTCTTCACCTTCCTGATGATCCATGGGACACACAGGGAGCCAGGACATCCGAGGGGCCCTGGCCCTGGCCACCGCCTCTTGGACGATGCCCTTGACTTGCCCTGGGTGCCACTGCTTCTCCCATCAGTGGAGCCTGGCCCAGGGGATACCACCCCTCCCCCAGGGAGGAGAGAGTAGTCCCTTCCCTTCCAACTGGGGCTTCCACCCCCTCTCAGGGGCCGGTGGGGGAGGGAGGAGGCTGAGAAGGTGCAGATTAAATAAAGATATGAATGGAAGGGCTTCTGTGCATTCCTGAGTGGTGAGTCCAAGGTTACCACTGCAAACACGATGGATATCCACCCTGGGTCAAGGTGTAATGTTGGATTCTGGGTGGGGGACCAAGATTTTGACTCCAGCATTCTCAGGAGCAGGATGAAAGGGACCCTCATGGCACAGCCTGAGGCCTCTGAGACTCAGGGGTTTGTGTTTATTTGTAGTGCTGGGGATGGACCCTAGGGCCCCTGCTACTGAGCACCTGCCCTGCCTCTGAGCTGTGCCCCAGCCCTGAGTCTCAGCTTTGAGTTACCCTGAGCAGGTGACTCCATACTCCTATGTGGTCTGGATCCCCCACCCACTATCCATCCTGCAAGTGGGAATTAAACCCAGGGGCATATTACCACTGAGCTACATCTCCAGCCCTTATTTTTTAATTTTAAGATAAGGTCTTGCTAAATTGTCCAGGCTGGCCTTGAACTTGGCCTCTTCCTGTCTCAGCCTCTTAGACAATGCCCTTGCCTTGCCCTGGGTGCTACTGCTTCTCCCATCAGTGGGGCCTGGCCCAGGGGACACTGTCCCTCCCCCAGGGAGGAGAGAGTAGTCCCTTCCCTTCCCTTCCAACTGGGGCTTCCACCCCTTCTCTGGGGCTGGTAGTGGAGGGAGGAGGCAGAGAAGGTGCAGATTAAATAAAGATATGAAATGGAAGGGCACAGTCATTTGGAAGGTCAAGGAAGAAGATGGCAAGTTTGATCTCGGCCTCCCAACTCACCATTGCCCCAGCACCTGGATCATTTCTAAGGCACTGTCCAAGTTGACCCCTCCTTCAGCTCAATGGAAGATTCCATTCTGCTGCTGGGCATGCTGAGGACAAAGGGAAGAGCTGTGGCCTGTGACTCTGGTTCAGTTCCCCTGTGGCTATTGAAGTTATTACCAGTTTTGGGGATGGACACTGAGCAGGTTGGAGGACACAAAGCTGGAAACTGTCAGCCCCAAATTGGGGCAGGCCAGCATGGGATCCAAAAAAAAAAAAAAAATAAAGAGGGGCTGGGGATGTGGCTCAAGCGGTAGCGCGCTCGCCTGGCATGCGTGCGGCCCGGGTTCGATCCTCAGCACCACATACAAANGCGGCCCGGGTTCGATCCTCAGCACCACATACAAACAAAGATGTTGTGTCCACCGAAAACTAAAAAATAAATATTAAAAAATTCTCTCTCTCTCTCTAAAAAAAAAAAAAAAAAAAAAAAAGAGAATAAGGGACAAGGGAATGGCCTCACTCACTAACCTCAGAAAGTTGCCTGGAAATGGCATCCTCATACGTAAGGCTGCTAGAGGTGTTTCCTGTGCAAGGCCACTGGGCTAAAGGGCAAGTCCCAGCATGGAGCTGTATCTGCTTGAGGAAAGGGCACCCTCTTCTAATTTATACAAAGGTGCCACAAGGGCCAGCCTAGAAGGGCACTGAGAATGGATGGGATTTCCCCAAGGGTAGAGGTGTTCTGGGCAGGGCCAGTGCCTGAGCAAAGTCCCGGGAAAAGGGCACAAAGCAGGATGTGCTAAGAAAGTAGTAGGAGAGAGCCCTGGAAGAATCTGCTGTGGCTTCCTTTCCAAACTCCAGAATTTGTCTTTATTTATTTTATTTTATTTTTTAAAAGAGAGAGAATTGAGAGAGAGTGTGAGAATTTTTTAATATTTATTTTTTAGTTTTCGGTGGACACAACATTTTCGTTTGTTATGTGGTGCTGAGAATCTAACCCAGGCCGCACACATGCCAGGCAAGCGCTCTACCGCTTGAGCCACATCCCCAGCCCAGAATTTGTCTTTAAAGTGGGACAAACTAGTGGAAGGCAGTTGGGGAAGGGAAGTGATAAGATCAGGGCTGCATGTTAGGGTGTTTGGCAAAAATGCAGCTGCCTGTTGGCCACGTGAGAGGATGGAGTTAGAGATCAGAGCTCTGCTGGGTGCCAGTCCACTGCCTCACTTTGGGAGTGAAATCACCTCTTTGTTCAGAAGTAACTGAAGTGGAAAACCCTATGGTGCCCAGACACTCAAGAAGGCTCACGTGGGAGCTAGGCGCAGTGGTGTGCGTCCATAATCCCAGCCATTTGGAAGAGTTTGAGGCCAGCCTGAGCAACTTAGCAAGATCCTGCCTCAAAATAAAAAGGGCTGGGGATGGAGCACAGTGGCCAAGTGCCCTTGGGTTCAGTTCCCAGTAGCACTAAATCAATCATCAAAATATTTTTTTAAAGGCTGCAGTGGGCAGGGAAGCAGACATGCTGGTTCCAGCTCCTCCCCACAAGGAAGGTGTTCCTCTTCCATCTTTTGCTCCAACCCCATAGATCTGACTGCCCCTTGACCGCTGTATATTCTCCTCCCATCCTCAGCAACAGAACCCCGGTTTTATTTCAGATCATGTGACTGTGTGATTTAAATCTAGGATATGGGATAAAAACAGAAGGTGTCGGAAGGAATTACCAACAATGCTCTTGAATTAGAAACAATATTGGTGAAAACAACTTTCGTCTTCCCTCCTTGCTTAAGTCTGGAATGCATATGTGGTAGCTGAAATTCCAACAGCTGTCTTGGATCAGAAGGTCACCTTGAAAATCGTAGCCATGTGCTGAGAATAGCAGAACCAGAAGATAAAAGATCCTGGTTTCTGATGACACCAGGGGAGCTTGCGGATCGGATCTGGGTTGCCTATTTTGAGAGGCTATTGAGAAAGAGAAGTCAAATTTTTGTTTGCTTAAGTCACAGTTGTTTCTTGTCTGTAATTACCAGCAGATTTTATTAATTATCAGCTGCTGCATAACAAATTATCCTAAATATAGTGGCTTAAAACAGCAATAATCACCATGCTCTCCCCTGGCTTCTGTGGGTCAAGAATTTAGACAAGGCACAACAAGGATTGCTTATCTCCGCTCCACAATGTCCAGGGCCTCTGCTGGAAGACTGGAAAGCTGGGGCTGGGATCATCTGAAGGCATCCACTCACATGTTTGGCAGCTGATACTCACTGATGGCTGAGGGCTAACTAGGGCTAGAAGCTGGACAGACACACCGGGCCTCCCTGTGTGGCATGGGCTTCCTCACACCAGGTGACAAGGTTCTCAGGAAAAGCATACTGGAAGGATGAAACTATTGTTCCTTCTAATCAGAAGCCACACAGCACAGCTTCTGCCTCTTTCCATTGGTCAAAGTTGTTACAAAGGTCTACCCAGTTTCAAACTGGGCACGGTGGTGCATGCTGTAATCCCAGCAGCTCCAGAGGCTGAGACAGGAGGATCACGACTTCAAACCAGCCTCAGCAACTGCGAGGCTTCTAAGCAACTCAGTGAGACCCTGTCTCTAAATAAAATCAAAATAGGGCTGGGGATGTGGCTCAGTGGCCAGCTGCCCCTGAGTTATATCCCCGGTACCCCCCAAAAAAGGTCTATTCAGTTTCAAGAGGTGGGAACACATGATCCCACCTCTTAATGGAGATTTGTCATCATCACATTGTAAGAATAGCATGTGGATGGGAGATATGTTAGTGCCATCTTTTTTCTTTTCTTTTTTTTTTTTTTGTACTGGGGATTGAACCCAGGGGCATGCAACCACCAAGCCACATCCCCAGCCCTATTTTGTATTTTATTTAGAGACAGGGTCTCACTGAGTTACTTAATGCCTTGCTTTTGCTGAGGCTAGCTTTGAATTTACAATCCTCCTGCCTCGGCCTCCCCAGCAGCTGGGATTACAGGTGTGCGCCACCGTGCCTAACTGTTAGTGCCCTCTTTAAAATTTAGTCAATTGCCAAGCCAAATGTCATTCTTAACTGAGTGACATCTATAGAGTGGTCTGCATTTTTTTTAAAACTTTGTGGTACTGGGCATTGAACCCAGGGATTCTGTACCACTGAGGTAAATTCTCAGCAATTTTTGTTTTCTGTTTTGAGACAGGGTCTTTCCAAGTGCCCCAGGCTGACCTTGAACTTGTTATCCTCCTTTCTTAGTAGCTGGGATTACAGGTGTGTGCTACCACACCTGGCAAATACCAACTCTTTCATGATGCTGGTTTGAGGGAGGAGGGCAGTGGCATGTTAGATATG